TGTCACCCCTCAGCCGTCGTTTCTCCAATCTAAAGAGCCCCAAGCGCTTTAACCTCTCTTCATAGGGAAAGTGTTCCAACCCTTTTATCATTCGAGTTGCCCTTTTCTGCACTTTTTCCAATGCTATAACATCCTTTTTGAGGTGTGGTGACCAGTACTCCAAATGAGGACGTACCATCGATTATCTAGTCAATATAAGCTGAACCAAGTGGCTGAAGGGAATGAAACACTACCAATAGGGCCTGTTCCTCCAGATGTAAAAACCCTTTCACAGATGGATGATTTTGAGGGACCTCCATATGTGTCAGCAAGCTGCCAAAGTTTTGTTTCCTTTCTCTGTATGCGCTTGTTTGCTTTCAGTTTCATATGCACGTCTGTTGATGCGCTTAATTGCTTAGCTGCAGGAACATCCATATCTCTCAAGGCCGCAGGTGGTTGCCGCTGCTTGTTAGTAGCTTGGAGGCTCTCACGAAAGACCGTGAGAAACAGATAACGTGTCTTGCCTAGAAGCGTTTGCTCCCAGGCCCGATGGCGCGCGCGGGAACTCCCGCAATTGGGCCTTAGTAGTTTGAAGGTACTATATCATACCCAGGTCTCTGCTCCCCCCTCATTCCGAACAGTGATCCTGTCTATGCATCTATAGCTTCAAATAAAGTAAAACCTTTTTACAAGTGTGTACTTCGTTGATGCTGTGGGGAGTCTGACATTATGCTTCATTTCATTTAATTAAGGCTGCAATATCTCATGTACTCCAGTGAGAGAGCATTATAAACAGCAGACTTGGACAGAGCCACCACACCCTAACACACCTCTCTGTCTCCCCAGCCACCCTCCATTGTACTGAATTCTGATCAAATGAGGTGGACTAATGTGGTGGCAGAGGAAGAAACCATGTCTCTCTGGATACTGCAGACTGTGTCCAACGTTTTCTTTCCTTCCTGGTAGGGGCTGGGTGCCCAAGGAACCAAAGAGAGAATCGGCAGTACTCAGTGATGCCTCCTTAGGAAGCAGAACATCCCTCTTCTTCTTTCGCAGCTCAGCTGTTCTCTTCCTTGGGCTTTACAGCCTGACCTCCTGAAGCTTCTGGCCCGGCTGTGGGATACTCCAGCGTGACCAGCGGCAGGCTCCTCAAACTGGACCTATCAAGCTGGTTCGGTTCTGCTTTCCTCGTGCTCCACCTTCCCTTGCCCTTCGCTCTGCGCTCCCAAGTGCTCAAGCGGGCCCATTGTTGCTATTGGCCCAAGGCTCGCAGGACCCATCCCTCTTCAGAAAGAAAACTTCACTTCAAGATAAGTCAGCAGCCACAGGGGAGAACAGGAAGAGATCATGGTGACTGAAAGGAAAAAATGTTCTGATTTCCCCACTTTCTTGAAGGTTGCAGCAATGCCGAGGCCATTTTGTTTTAATGGGCAACGGCTTTTAAACACTTATCCATTTAAGCCTCCCAGCTGCACATTAGCAGGGGAAAAGAATATCCCTCAGTGTGGTGATTTCAGTTACAATTAAAATGCGTTATAGCTTTGATATTCCAAAGCAATAAAAGCAGCTTTCGTTCAGACACTTCTTAAAAGGAAAAAATGTTATTCCAAAAGAAAAGATTATGCATCTGCACTTGCCCACTGCCAAGGAATCCAACTGAAGTGCTGATTTAAACATTTGAAATCAAAGTAATGCTGTTAATAAAAAAGCCATGCAATATCACAGAAAGAAGTGGGGGGGGGGAGTAGTTACCAAGGCACTCTTTCTCTTTTCTCCTTTCTTCACTCCATTCAGTCTGTCCCGGTAGCCTTTACTTTCAATGACCATCTGTCTTTCCTGCAGAACTGCAGTTTTCTTTTGGAGATACTGATCACCTAAAAGTAAAACCACAGGACAGTGAAGCATAAATCATCTCTCCCAACAGCATGATGGGGACGCTACTTAAAGATTTTGTACGTTACAGTGGGAAGCATTTCTAAGAACTTGATGCCAAGCAGACCTTAACAGAGAAGCTCAACTTTGGACCAGCAAAAGGACTGTTGGGGTCTAATATCAACACACCCAGGGAGGCTGAGAAGTCCAATGCAAACGGGATTGCCGACTGAACTGATCATGACTGTCGACACGAGTCTCAAGCCCTCTTGCTAGACTGCCACACTGCGGTTACGTGGCATTTGTCCCAAATGCAGGGCCCACAGGCTTTGTCCTGCGCTACGGAACCATGGCCGAGCGGTGGCAGCCAGTGTTCCCTCTAAGCTGAGGTGGCCGAGCGGTGGCAGCATGCTGGTAGCCTGCCCAGTCAGTGGGACCGCAGCACTGATACCTTAGGGTCACGTTCGGGCCATTACACTGACTTACTTGCCGTTCACCCCTCTTCACACCTGCACTGTCAGCTGCAGCTTTCGAATTTCTGACATGGCCTCAGATTTACCACCCGTGAGGGCAGTTTGGCCGCCTTTCCTTTTAGTTTTCAACGCAAGGGGAATTATTTATTCATTTATTTAATTTGATTTTTACCTCGCCCTCCCCATGGGCGGATTACGAAGTCACAGATCTCAATAACAATAGTTAAAAGAATTAAACAGTAATTTAAAACAGTAATAGGAACCACAATCAAGGTTCCCTGTACTTGACTTCATGGCTGAAAATAATGTGCTTCCTTCTAGGATGAGTTATCACACATGGCTACACTTTTGAGTTTAACCGGACCTCTACCTTACTGTCGAGACTCCTCTTGTGAAGCAGACTCCTGAAGATGTTATCTTTTAAACTTGACTCAATTCTATGGGATTCATAGCTCACATAGCATCTATGTATAGGTGATCGGATTTAGTTCTAACTTAGTTTTGTTATGACTGTTGATGTAGGTTGTAAAAATCTGTATTGATGACTAACCGGTTGGTTTGTAATTTTGGATTTTCAGGACAGTTGTATACTGTGTTGCAGTTATTATATTTCTTGATATGTTATACTTCTTCTTAATAAATGGGTTAAAAAAAAGGTTAATGTTACTATGCTCAGTTTAAGCCGATCCTAAGCCAGCGGTTTCTGTAGGGGAAGTCAAAGACAGATCTTGGATGTCCGCTGCCTCAGCCAAGTCTGGCAGAACAGCTCTGTTTTACAGGCCCTGCGGAATTGTATTAAATCCCACGGGGCCCTGATCTCAAGTGGGAGCTTGTTCCACCAGGCTGGGGCCAGTGCAGAAAAGGCCCCGGCCCTGGTTGAGGCTGGTCGGACATCCTTGGGGCTGGGGAAACCAGTAAATGTTGGTCAATTGAGCGCAATGCTCTGTGGGGGCACGTATGGGGAGAGGCGATTCCGGAGACATGCAGGTCCCTTGAACCATCCGGTCACAGCCTGTAGTGCCCCGTCCAGTACTTCCAGGGCAGAGTCTGTCTGTCTGCCCATCCATCGGCAGATAGAGCTGGGTGTCATCAGCATATTGGCGACAACCCAGCCCATACCCCTGGACCAACTGGGCGAGGGGGCACATGCAGATGCTGAATAACATCGGGGAGAGGATAGCACTCCACATTTTAGCAGGTGTCGCTGGAAATACCACGGGACAAGGGGTAACAAGCTCTGAGGGACATCTCTTGTACTCATCTAAATTTTTTTAAAGTAAAGGTAAAGGTCTCCCTAGCTCGAAAGCCAGTCGAGTCTGACTCTAGGGTTGCGGGGCTCATCTCCGTTTCCAAGCCGAAGAGCCAGCGCTGTCCGAAGACGTTTCCGCGGCCATGTGGCCAGCAGGACTAAACACCAAGGCGCACGGAACGCTGTTCCCTTCCCACCGAAGCAGCACCTATTTATCTACTTGCAATGTCTTGCTTTCGAACTGCTAGGTTGGCAGGAGCTGGAACTAGAGACGGGAGCTCACTCCGTCATGCGGCACACTCGGGTCTCGAACTGCTGAACTACCAACCTTCCACAGCCTGCAGTTCAGCGTCTTAACCACTTGAGCCACCGCAGCTCCTTTTAAAAGCAAGGGGGGGGGTTGTGGAATGGGGAGGGGTCTACAAATCCCATGAGGCTGCATGAGAATGCACACACACAAACTTATCTGGATTCAGACAGCTTGGAAGTGACGAGCACAGACTAATGCGGTCATTAGGCACAAAGAGACACCAAAGAAGTATCCGCTCATAAATCTCCATTGTTTTCCTTTTAATTATGTGCCTTTAAATTGGGGGCTGAGAAAGCTATTGGGGTGCAGCAGGAGGGGGGGGAGAACTGTAACAAAGTAATATATAGACATATTTAAACTATTTGGATGCATACAGGCAGTGTGTCAGTTTTATAGGCAAGAAGAGGCCAATATTCTACCATGGAAAAAATCATGAGACGGAACACCAGGCTACAGTTTGGTCCCTTCCACCTATTACAATGGGCCCCCGGTCCATCAAATTGACCATGACTAAGAACAGGGCGTTCTCGGTGGCGGCTCCTATCTGGTGGAATGAGCTCCCAGAGGAGATCAGGGCTCTGCGGGACCTAGGACAGTTCCGCAGAGCCTGCAAGACGGAGCTCTTCCGCCAGGCTTTCGAATAGGAGCCGCCGCCACCACTAGACCACCAATGCATCAGTATACCGTCGACGCCCGGGAGGACATCTGGATATGGGCACCAAAGAACACCTATCCCTATCTGCTGAAGCTTCATTTATTGCTATCTATATATATATATCAGGAGCTGCGGTGGCTCAAGTGGTGAAGACGCTGAACTACAGGCTGTGGAAGGGTCAGCAGGTCGAGACCCGAGTGTGCCGCATGACGGAATGAGCTCCCGTCTCTAGTTACAGCTCCTGCCAACCTAGCAGTTCGAAAGCAAGAAATTGCAAGTAGATCAATAGGTACCACTTCGGTGGGAAGGGAACAGCGTTCCGTGTGCCTTGGTGTTTAGTCATGCCAGCCACATGACCACGGAAACGTCTTCGGACAGCGCTGGCTGTGAAACTGAGATGAGCACCGCAACCCTAGAGTCGGATTCGACTGGCTTTCGAGCAAGGGAACCTTTACCTTTATATATCTAATAGCCAAGGTCCCCTCTGCATGCAGATATCTAAATCCGCACATCTGAGGCACCTAGGGGGCAAAGAGATTTCTCCCAGGTGTGCAGAAAAATCTGAAATTTAGAAAAAAACTATAGGGGGGAGAAGGGGAGAAGGCTCACTTGCGGCTGCTTCCTCCTCCTCCACGTGGAGCTCCTCCCACCCGCGAGTATCGCAGGTCCCCGCTTCTTGTCTTGTATAGTCACACAAATACCAAGAATCCTATTTCCAAAATATTGAAATCCATTTTTCTCATCTCTGGTTAACAGAAGAGGAGTTGGTTTTTATACCCCGTTTTCCTCTACCATAAGGAATCTCAAAGCAGGTTACAATTGCCTTCTCTTCCTTTCCCCACAGCAAGCACCTTGTGTGAGGTAGGTGGGGCTGAGAGAGTTCTGAGAGAACTGTGACTGGCCCAAGGTCACCCAGCAGGCTTCATGTGGAGGAGGAGGGGTGGGGAATCAAGGCTGGTTCTCCAGATTGGACGCCACGCTGGCTGTGACAAATGTCACGCATTGTTTTTGGAAGATGCCTCTGTTGAGCCTCAAGCAGAAGAGGCTTCAGGAGCAGTGTAACCTCCAGACCTTTCTATACACCCTTGCTCTTTGAACCCAGCACTTGGAAGCTGCACTTCACACAACTGCTTGGGACAAGATACAAGAAGAAAGGCAGACTGCTAGGGCCTAAACCTCAAGATCAATCTCTTGGACCGAGCTGGGAAGGTAGGGAACGATTGTGAAACTTTGCATTATGAGAATGGTATTAGAAACAGAAGCGGAACTCAGCCAGAATTGTCTTCACCCAGCCGAAGCAAGCCTTGGTGTGTGGGCAGGGAGTGGCAGAGTTCACAGCGAGACAAGATGCTTACAATTTAATCCTGTATCACATTCCAAAGCACCAGCAGCTTCCAGCACCGCTTTGATTACCAGCTTGAATCGGACATCTTCCTGCAGAGTGCTGGAACAAATAAACAAACAACAAATCAGCAGCCCATGCATCTGTTGCTTGGAGGATGAAATGGATAATTTCTTTAAAAGTTCCCAAAGAGGCAGAGCTAGGAGAATGGGATAAAGACAATAAGAAGTATGTTTTTCTGTAGAAGGAGTTCGTAAGTCTTTTACTGGTCTAATTAAAGAATTTAGATTCTCCCCCAATTGTGTCTGATGCCGCTTTTAATAGTATTATCTCTTCAATTATTTATTTGCCCAGCCTTTACGTTGCTTGCTTTTCTAAGTTTTGAACTGTGCTGTTTTAATCTCGATATACCTAAACGTGACCATATCATTAAGGAGAAAGTGTGATATAAATATTTAAAATAACTAAACAACGAATTTACCTTTTGGAGATGTTGCCATTGCAGAGTGGACATTTTGTGATACCTTTCTTTTGTCCAAGAAGCTTCAATATGCAGAAACTAAAAAAGAAAAGAAGCAGTAAGATTTGCTCTGACATTGCTAGGAAGACAGGCAGTTTGCCCCCACCGGATTCATGGCCAGCATCATCTCTCATCCGTGCACATCTGCGTGTTTTCAAACCCTAATTCTTCCTGGCTGATAAAAACTGCCAGAGGAGGGCTGGCTGAGTGAGGAAAAGGTAAAGGTAAAGGTTCCCTTGCTCGAAAGCCAGTCGAGTCGGACTCTAGGGTTGCGGTGCTCATCTCCGTTTCAAAGCCGAAGAGCCAGCGCTGTCCGAAGACGTTTCCGTGGTCATGTGGCCGGCATGACTAAACACCAAGGCGCACGGAACGCTGTGACCTTCCCACCGAAGTGGTCCCTATTTATCTACTTGCAACGTCTTGCTTTTGAACTGCTAGGTTGGCAGGAGCTGGAACTAGAGACGGGAGCTCACTCCGTCATGCGACACACTCGGGTCTCGAACGGCTGAACTACTGACCTTCCACAGCCTGCAGTTCACCATCTCAACCACTTGAGCCACAGTAAATGCTTCCTTGAAGGAAGGAGGCAGTGACTAGCCTCGTTTTGGAAAAAACCCTCACTAAGCCCTCCAGCCAGTCTCCTATCTTCCATTCTTGGGCAAGGTGCTTGAGTGGGTTCTCAGCTCCAGGCAGGCCTGTAGCTAACGTGGGGCCAGCCCCCTCGTGTTTCTTCTGGGCCACCTCCTGCCTGGGCTGTCCCCGAAGTGCCTCAACTCGCCACCTGCGCGCCATGCTACCTCCAACCTGGCTGCCCGACAACTGAGGTCCTTGAGCACTCCAGAGAAGTGGAATCCTTCATCCCCAGAGCTACCTTCCGATACTCCCCTCCCCTTTTTATTGTTGTTCAGTCGCACAGTCGAGTCCGACTCTTCGCGACCCCATGGACCAGATCACGGCAGGCCTTCCTGTCTTCCGCCGTCCTCTGAAGTTTGCTCAACTTCATGTTCGTTGCATCTATGACACTGTCTCACCATCTCATCCTTTGCCGTCCCCGTCTTCTTTGACCTTCAATCTTTCCCAGCATCAGGGTCTTCTCCAGTGAGTGCTCCCTTCTCATTGGGTGGCCAAAGTTTTTGAGCTTCAGTTTCATTATCTGGCCTTCCAGGGAACAGTCAGGGTTGATTTCTTTTTGTTGTTGTTCAGTCGCACAGTTGAGTCCGACTCTTTGCGACCCCATGGACTAGATCATGCCAGGCCCTCCTGTCTTCCGCCGTCCTCTGAAGTTGGCTCAATTTCATATTCACTGCATCTATGACACTGTCTAACCATCTCATCCTTTGCTGTCCCCGTCTTCTTTGACCTTCAATCTTTCCCAGCATCAGGGTCTTCTCCAGTGAGTGCTCCCTTCTCATTGGGTGGCCAAAGTATCTGAGCTTCAGTTTCATTATCTGGCCTTCCAGGGAACAGTCAGGTTGATTTCTTTTAAATTCACCCATTCCTTTCCACTTTAGTTCACTGATTCCTAAGATATCAATTGCCACCAGCTCCTGCCGGCTTCTCTTCCTCACCATCCACCCTCAACCACAGGACCGGTCTCTGTACTCCAGCCCTCTTTAAAAACCGCCTGCCTCCCCCGCCACCCGAGTCCCCTCAACAAGCCCCGTGGGAGCTTGTTTTTCTAAGGGAGCTGCAGAGAGAGCGCGCCAGAGGAGCCGTGGGGCAGCCCTTTACGTGCACTCTGCAGCATGTGCTCCCTCCCGGCTTCCGTGCCCATCGTGACTGGAGGCGACGGGCCAGGTGGGAGGGAGTGGAGGAGGATGCCCGTCGCCGCCGCCACCTCCTTCGACCACCCCCCCACCTGCCTCATCCTCCTGCCCGGCGAAGTGGCCGAGAGAGTGCGTGGCCTGCCGCCGGCGGAGGGTTACCTGGCACTTTTGATTAAATTAGCTGCCGGTCCCCCCAATGGCCCCCTCCCCCAAAAGTCCCTCGCTACGGGGCTGGCTCCACGGTCTTCTGGAACAGACTAATTTTCTGGACCCATTTCAATTTGGCTTCAGGACAGCATTTGGAATAGAGACTGGTCTGGTCGCTTCGCTTGGTGGGGACCAGTGTTCCCTCTAAGCTGAGTTGGTGTGAGCTAGCTCAGTTTTTTAGCCTCTGGCTCACACATTTTTGCCTCGGCTCAGGAAGGATGACTTCAGAGCAAACTAATTTATGCAGCAGCCAAATCGCTCGCTCACGACTTTAATGCCAGTAGCTCACAAAGTAGACGTTTTGCTCACGGGACTCCACAGCTTAGAGGGAGCATTGGTGGGGACCACTACCGAGAACTAGACAGGGGGAATGTGACTCTGGCAGCTCTGCTGGATCTCTCAGCAGCCTTTGATAACTATCAACCATGGCATCCTACTGAGCTACCTCTTGGCCCTGGGACTGCGGAGGCACCACATTATGGTGGTTTGAGTCCTGTTTAGGTTGGTCCCAGGTGGTGGTGCTGGCTCTGCCCCATGGCGGTTGGCCTGTGAGGTTCTGCAGGGTTTGATCGTATCCCCCATGTTGTTTCGTATCTATGGGAAGCCTCTGGGTCACCAATACGTGGATGATACGCAGCTTTATCTTTCTTTTCCACCTGATTCCAAGGATGCTGTTGATGTTCTAAACCAGAGCTTGGAGTCAGTAAGGGGCTGGGTGAGGGTGGACAAGCTGAAACTTAATCCTGACAAGACAGAGGTTCTCTGGGTTAGGCACATTGCCTCTAAGCTGTGGAGTGTTGTGAGCAAAAATTTTACTTTGTGAGCCAAAAGAGCGACTAGCAATAGAGTTGTGAGCAAGCCTGTATTTGGCTATCACGTAAATTACTTTTTTAGAAGATTATTACCAGCACACGCTAGTGCAGTTTAGCAGGAACACTGCATCAGAGAACTTTTTTAAAGGTTTCTCTTTACATCTGTTTCAGTCTTGCCCTCAGATCCAAACCTTCTGGAGGCAGTTAGATTTATCAATTAACTGGATATCATATTCCCTGCAGACAAATAGTTACCACTGTTGTTGTTTTTTTAAAAAGCACTGTTGATGGCAATAGGGAAATGGTAATAAATCTGCATGATCTAGCCAAATCGTGTATTGCTGCTTAATGGAAACAGAAAAATGTTCCACCTATTTCTCTTTGGCGTATTTGGAAGATAGATTTTAAAAACTGAAATTAACACGTACATAGATGTTTGAGAGACTCAAGTACAACAGATTCAAGGGACACAAGATTCCTGTATATATTAAGTTTATTAAAAAATGGTCCTTTTCTACAGTGTATTGGAACAGTAAGTCTAATTATGGAAACTGGCCATGTTTTGTCATTACTTTTTTCATATGAACATTTTAAATATATAATGGAAAATGCCCATTTGCAGTCACTGTAGCTGCAGAAGGGAGCAGACAGATAGAAAGTCTTCTGATAATTTGGAGGGACAAACTCCATGTAAGTAATTCCCGAGGGTAGCCATGTTAACTGGTCCACAGCAAAATAAAACAGGAGTCTTAGTAGTACCTGACTCATCTTGCAACCTTACTTAGCCTAGATGGACAGGCCACTCCCAAGAGGTACAGGCTGCTTGCTCAGGAGCAATCCCCTACCACCTCAGGTAAAGCAACCAGGCAGGGCGACCATTCCAGGATGTTGAAACTTCCTTCCTTTTTCACAAGCAACAGTGTAAATTGCCATTTCCCAGTGAGTCGAAACTTCCCTGTCTGACTTCCTAGAAACTTCCTGCTTGTCCTGGGCTAGGTGGTGTGCGTATATATGGGTGGGGTGTGGAAGGCGATATCAAATACTCCACTGCAGGGGGAGGTGCCAAGTCCTTTGACCAGGTCCCTTGAAGGACACACTCCTCCCGTGCAAGGCACTGCTGCTGCTTTTCCCAAGAGGACACCACATGGGCAGGTGAGCACAAGCCGAGAGGGAAGCAGTGACACAGGAGTGGAGCAGCTCTTTTCCTGGCATTCTCCACCCCCTCAGGGCTGGGTTTGGTCTGTTCTCTAATCTAAGCTGCGTTCCCCGTGGCTTGAACGTGGCTCCTGCCTTAAAGCCAAGAAGCAACCAAGGCACAGCAAGCGCGTCCTGAGAGTTCGGTTGGTGCTCGCACAATGGGCCACTGAGCCTGGGCGGCTCCTGCCCTGGCCGGATGCAAACTTCAGACTCTCCTCTCCTCTGGCTGGGTGGCCATATTGCTTGCTTCCTCTGGGGCTGGCTCGTCCCCCTTCCCGCTCTGCCTTGCCAGCGTTCCGCTACGAGGGGAAGTAGGAACAGCAGCATTTCATCGCCTTGCACTGAGCCAAAAATCTGTGCACTAAGGGCTAAAAAATTGTGCGCCAGGACATCCTAGCGCAGTTTAGCAGGAACACTGTAGAAAGGCAGACCAGGAGCTTGAGATCTCTCCTGTCTTGGATGGGGTGATACGCCCCTTGAAAAGCCAAGTTTGCAGCCTAGAAGTGCTACAGGACACAACAGTCATCTTAGAAAACCAGCTGGCTCTAGTGCTTCAGAATGCTTTTGCTCAGCTTCAGCTAGTGAGTCAGCTGCATCCATTCCTGGTCCAGTCAGATCTAGTCAGTGATCCACATCTTAGTTACATCTAGACCGGACTACCGCAATGCACTCTACATGGGGCTACCCTTGAAGAGTGCCCAGAAGCTACAGCTAGTGCAGAACACTGTGGGGGCAGCTATCAACTGGTTACCAATCCACTCCCAAGCCCAATTCAAGTCCAGCTATCAACTGGTTACCGATCCACTCCCAAGCCCAATTCAAGTTGTGGTTTTGACTTTTAAAACCCTACATGGCTTGGGACAGGGATATCTGAAGGATTGTGTCCCTGCCCGGGGATCCAGATCACAGGGAGAGGCCCTCCTGACCGTCCCATCCGTCACAGAAGCTCGTCTGGTGGGTCCAGGAGGGTGGGCCTTTCCAAGGCAGCCCAGGGGTCATGGAACGACCTCCCCAGGGAGGTGAGCCTGCCTGGTCCCCTCCCTTTCGATCTTTTGGAGGCAGCTGAAGACGGTTTTACTCTGGACTGCATTTGATTAATTTACTAGCAGTCCTAAATTGTGATTTTAAATGTTGGTTTTTTTAATTATTCTAAGTATTTTATGTGTTTTATTTGCATTGTTAGTGGCCTTGAGTTTAGTGCGGCATAAAGGCAGCTAATACATGTTTTAAATAAAAGAAAATAAACCTCTATCAAACTCAGTCAACACTGCCATCCTCCACCCAAGCCTGAAGCAAAGCAGCTGCACCCTCCCCACTTGGCATATGAAAGCTGCCTGCCAGCAAGGCATATGGGCTGTTCTTCCCTGGATGTGAACCCTCCCTCCTTATCCGTGCAACCATACTATTACCTCCACAGAAGGACCTCTTCTTGTATTTTGCTTTTCCAGAGTCCTTCCCTTAAGAACAACATGAGCTAGTCCCTGTTTCCACCTCTTTATGAGAACCAGTTTGGTGTAGTGGTCAAATGAGCGGACTCTAATCTGGGAGAACCGGGTTTGATTCCCCACTCCTCCACTTGCACCTGCTGGATGACCTTGGGCAAGCCGTAGTTCAGTCACAGGTATTCTTGAAAAGAGCCGTTTCTGTCAGGGCTCTCTCAGCCCCACCTACCACACTGGGTGTCTGTTGTGGGGAGGGGAAGGGAAAGGAGTCTGCAAGCTGCTCTGAGACTCTGAGTGAAGGGTGGGGTATACATCTAATCTCTTCTTCTTCTTCATGGATGAGAAGCTGCATTACAGCAAGCTACATCAATGGACTACCCAGCCAGTGCTGTTGACACTGGTTGTGACTCCCCGGGGTTTCGGGGATTGTTACCATCTCTTTGTGCAAGATCATGGTTGATACAGGGGCCTTCTACACACAGGGGATTACATACATACCGGGGGGGGGGGCTCTTTACTGCTCACTGCTGTTCGTGTGTATGCAACGCCCAAGAACACGGAGAGGAGGCTTACCTGCAGAAGACATGAGCACAGTGCGTTGAGACCGGTGCTTTCATTATCTCCAGGCTAGAAGATATTAATAAAACATCGTAGTTATTCATTTTGACTATGGCATTCTTGACCTACACAGTGCAGTGCATTTGGGGGAGAGTCATTAACAAGATGGAGCTGCGGTGGCTCAAGTGGTTAAGACGCTGAACTGCAGGCTGTGGAAGGGCATGAGTTCAGCAGTTCGAGACCTGGGTGCCGCATGAGGGAGTGAGCTCCCGTCTCTCGTTCCAGCTCCTGCCAACCCAGCAGTTCGAAAGCAAGAAATTGCAAGTAGATAAATAGGTACCGCTTTGGTGGGAAGGGAACAGTATTCCGTGCGCCTTGGTGTTTAGTCATGCTGGCCACATGACCACGGAAACGTCTTCGGACAGCGCTGGCTCTTCGGCTTGGAAAAGGAGATGAGCACCGCAACCCTAGAGTCGGATTCGACTGGCTTTCGAGCAAGGGAACCTTTACCTTTACCATTAACAAGATGCCTACTCAAATGGGTGCCTGTTCAAGACAGATCTTGGAAACACTGCTAGCCGTTCATGACAAACCCCACTTTAAGAGCAAAGGTCCATCTCGGTCAAGAGTACTTCTGCTCTGCTCTTCTGGCACTGCAGTTTGGACCTAGCTGCATTCAGGGCTGAAAACAAACTTGCGGCTCCTCCAAACTCCCCATCTAGTACTTTTTTTGTTTTACAAGCAGTTTGGACTGAAGGCTCTCTTTTAGCTTCTCTCTTCTATGATGCACGCCTATAACTTTGGCTCGAGCCCTTGTGCTACAATTAACGCT